TCTTTTGCTCCACCTTCAGTTTTTTCTTGAGCTTGTCTGTACAATAGAAGATGCACTTCGATTGTTTTCTGCACCGGTAACATTAGAAGGGTACCGAGCATCACCAGCTGTAATTTTTTCAAGAATTGAATGTATGTTGAACAAGATTTCAAATTTTTATCCATTATACAATTCAATCCTCCCACGGAACATGTCAAAAGAATAAAGGGCAAAAAATTCAGATTGTTGAACTATGATATGGTTGGAAGGGATATAAAGGGAATATGAAAGTAAAAGANTTTTAGGTTAGACAATGGGCCAAGTCCAATATGGTCCATAGGTGGTTAATGGGTGGGCTAAGTACAAAAGTCGTCAATGAGCTATGGGTAGGGCCACGAGCAACTCTAAAATAAATTAGGCTATTACCAGTGGTCCATACTAGTTATAAGTTCAGCTTATTCCATTCAAGGTGTCATTTGATCAATGTCGATTGAGTAATATGATTTCACATCATTGCGTGAGGAGGTCGTTTGACAACAATTTGCCTAACACAACTTTGGTAGCATAGTTTAGCAGGAGAAGAAACCAGCCATGCACTGGTACATTAGAATTTCCGTGTCTTTTGTTATATTCTCCGTCTGCAGCTCCTCGACTTTTTTCTTGAGACTTCTGAATCATTTGATTGGCGTACTCTGGATTTATTACATTTCCACCTTATCCCAGAATCTGGAAATAAGCCTCCGAATAACCAGCGGCGGTGGACATACTCTCGGATTAGGTTAATAGCGGCTGTAAATCTTTGTACAAACTTCTACGCCATGTAGGATGATGAGTTCTTTAGCAGTCCGTTCTTTCTATGCCTTTGAGTTCGTATTGTTCGTTATATACTCGAGCTTAATGTTCTCGTCATGTTCAGGGATGATACCAGGAAGGAGAAAAGTAATAAGATCAGAACACGTTATGACATTAAGATAGAAGCTATTATGACTTTTATACTTTGCTTTGTATGTTCGGAAAGTTGTCATTGGTCATGTACAGATAAATTCAAACAATCATATACAAGTGGTACAAATTGAAACATTGGTAAAAAGAGATTATAACTAGTCAAATTATAACTCACCTTGTAGTAAATTTTGTATAACTGATACAACATAATGAAAAGAATTCAGAACTCACAAGAAAATTAGGAAAGTAACACATAATGGCTTCCTGGATAGATATCCATATTACAAACAGTAAAATTTGTGTAGCTCCTATGTTTGAATGAACATCTTAAAACAAGAACCTCTGTCTTGTATAACAGCTTCAAAGTTTATTGATACTGGAGGACATTACAAAGTCGGAGTGGGAGTTTGAACTTTTCTCCAGAAAGAGACGAATTGTCTTGGCATCAACAATCTGGGGCCTAATGGTTAAAAGCATGTAACAGGAGTACAAAATACTTCAATACCAAAGCATCGGTGAGAAGAAAAATAATAGTTTATCACGCATTCACGATACCAATTGTATTTGGCATTTAGGGGTGGTGGCCAAACCACCGGATCTAGTTATTAATAGGGGCTGTAAATCACTATACAAACTTCTCCACCACATAGGATGCTCAGTTCATGCTCCTTTTTTAGCTATCCGTTCTTTCTCTTTATGAGTGAATTCTTCCATTCGCACTGATCATAAGATACTCGAGCTTAATTTCTGGTCATATTTAGAGATGATATATGGAAGGATATATGTAACAAGATCTGAAAAGTTTATGATGTTATGATAGTAACTAGTATAATTTTTATATTTTACTTGGTATGTTTGGAAAGTTTTCAACGATCATGTAAGTGGATAAAACTATTAAAATCGAAAAAAAAATTACCTTGCGGTAAAATATTTAAGGGAATACGTTATATTGAAAAGAATTCAATATTAGGAAAATATGTACTCCCAAGAAAATTAGAAGAGTAACAGAGTGGTGTCCTTGCTGTCTTCATGTATAACAGTTTCAATGTTTACGGACCATTCTTGGTGTACAGCAAAAAAAATTTCTGTCAAATTTACAGACCACACACAACACAGGTGGGACCCGCATTTTTTGGAATATTTTGTTGACAATGGGACCCACATCCATGTGACACATCTGGTGGAATTCTGTGAAATTTTTTCTGTACACGTGCATTTTCCCATACAACTAATGCACTCCATCCGGGGCTTTTTTGGTGTAGTAGTGGACTTCATAGTTTGAGTAATTTTGCAAGATTTGGCAAGCGACATCTAGAACTGAGTTAGGGAAAAAAGAGACTAAAGGCCTTGTGCAGTATTTCAGAGTGTGCTAATCAGTTGACAGATTACAAAGTTGGAATGGGAGATTGAACTTTTTTCAGGAAGAGAGGAATGATATCGGCATCAATTTGGGCCAAATGGTTAAAAGCGTGTGACAGGAGTGCAAAATACTTCCATTCCAAAGCATCAGTGAGACAGAAAACAAAATAGTTTTTTCACGGATTCAGGATACCAATAGTGTTTGGCATTTAGGGGCGAAGGCAGTTGTAAATGTCCTGGCAGATTATTTTAGAGAAATATTCAGCAGTGAACTGCATTCTGGGATTGAGCTGGAGAGAGTCAAAAATGTAGTTTTTAAAATGGGTGTTCGGACTACAATAAAGTTCCAATAACCCCGAAAGATCAAGAAAGCCCACATTCAAATGCCCTGCGGAACATTTGCTTAGAAAGATGCCATTGTGACTTTGCCCATAGTGGAACACTCTAAAAAATATCTTCTCCAACATGATTGAGAGGTACATTTAAATTTTTTAGAATTTTTTTACGTTGCGAAGGACTTCTTTTCATGAGTGCTTGAAAATTTTGTTTTTGGTATGGAAGTATAGCCGAGAAACAAATTTAGCCCATATTTGTCTCCCATTCTTTCTATGCTCTTTTTTCTACGTGTTCATTTTCAACCACTAATTTACACAATAAAATATTCTTCACATAAAATTCAAAAGTTCTTCCTATCTTTTAACCACACATTCTCTTAAAAAATACAATTCAAAACTACTTTTTTTTGAAAAAAGTGCGATTGTCAAACATATGTTAACTTGAACCATTCATTGAGCTTGCCAAAATTAGGGATGGTGAAAATCTCTTATACTCACAGGTTTCGTTCTAAATGGGGTGGAGATTTCTTTTCACCTCTTATACTCACAGGTTTCGCTCTAAATGGGGTGGAGATTTCTTGCTTAATTGGATACACGGGACAAATATGTACGGGAATCGTTGCTCCGAGATGGGGACATGGCTTGTACGTGGAACATGGGTCCTAGTCTCATTTGAAGTTCATTTCAAAATTCAAGTTTTTTTGTCACAAAAAAAAAAAAAAAAAATCATCATTATTTTTAAAGGAAATATGAACTTTTCTACAATTTGAAAAGAAGTAACAATTTTTAACAACTAAAAAAAATTTAAAAAAAACAAAAAAATAAATGGGGAGGTGACAAAATAGCTGCCCCCGCCTTAACCAGGTATGTGTTAGGGGCAAGAAATGGAGGTGAAAATGTTGCCCCAATCTCGTCTTGTCTGCTGTCATCTCTAGCCAAAATTTATAGTACAAAGATAATTAGGGATGACAACGAACTGAGATTGGTACGTCTCACTCCGGCCATGTCGGATAATTTTGTTACTTTGTTCCATCTCCATACTCGATTAAAGTGGGATAGGACGGGGATGGTTTGAGATAGGATCGAGACGGAGCAGGGCATGTCTCCTGCCTCGTTTATCACCCCCCTTTTTTTTGGTTTTTTATATTTTACTTTTATTTTTTTATGCCTTTAGTTAGTAAATATTATTACATTTTTTCCAATTTGTTAAGAACAACTTGTGTTTTCTTTAAAAATGATGATAAATTTTTTATTTTCTGTTTGATAAAGAACTTAAATTTGAAATTAACTTTTAATGAAGTGGATAGCGGGACAAGAACTATGTTTCCGTACCTGCCCCGTTTACCCGGTTAGGCAGATAATCCTCGCACCATTTGGGGACGAGACCGCAAGTATCATATTGAACGGATATTTTGACATTCCTAAAGACAATCAATATCAAAAAAGTGATCCAATAACCTAGTTTTTATGTTTGGTGACCTTTAAACTAATTTACCTTATTTTAATTTTTTTATACTTATTTTGAATTATACATTCACACAGTAAAATATAAGTAATTCTATTTAGTCTCATTGGGGTTACAACCCCAATTTAAGTGGCGTTGATGTGACATTAAAGCCCTATTTGGTAAACATTAAAATTTTCATTTTCATTTTTCTATTAATTTTCAACCACACATTTTTAATAAAATAATATTTTTCATCACATCAATAACTTTTCTTTCTTTTTCAACCACACATTTTCCATCAATCCACTATCCCAAAATAATATCTATCAAAGTCATTTAATTTTACCTTTCACTTAACCTATCATTTAGAGTCACATAAACTAAAGTTACAATCCCATTGAGGATGAATAGCATTACTTAAATATTCACACGTAAACTACACGTTTTTAAAACAAATACTATTCAAAAATATAGTTTTTTTAAAGGTTTGGGCGTTTGGCCACCAAACCTGGTCTAAAGGGGTGCGCGCCAAAGAAGCACACTGTTATAAAAGTAGTCAAACAATCTTCCTTTATCATTACTCTCTAGAATTCTTCACTTGTATACTCTTTCTTATCACGTGGCATAATCAGCTTTGCAACTCAGACAGGACTAAGGACAGGGAATTTAAAGCCCATTAGCGATGTGAAAAGGAGCAAAGGACCGTGCTACTCCACCATATTGGTACAAAATCTGGTAGAGCCAATTAACCATGGAGGGTGGGTCATGGGTGATAAAACATTTGGGGGATTTTTTTAAAGAGGTGGTCCCGAAACCTGGTAGAGTTGATTAATTCATGTGAAAAATATGAAGATAATGTACTAGTGGTATGATTGTCCTCTTTATAAATAACATTACCAGGCGAATCACAGAAGAAAGGAAGAAGAAAAGAAGCCATGGATAAGGAAAAGAAGGGTCGGATCTTGGCAGTTCCATTCCCAAGCCACGGCCACATCAATCCCATGATGCAACTCTGCAAGCGTTTGGTCTGCAAAGGGCTCAAAGCCACACTCACACTCACCAAATTCTATGGTAAGAAAAATATGAAAGAAAAATCTGGTTTGATCCAAATCGAAACAATATCAGATGGAGACGATGAATATGACATATTTGATAGACAGAGTGTGCCCGATTCTGTTGTTCGATTCACGAAACATGGGTCAGAATCTATAGCCCAACTCATTGAGAAATATGATAGTTTGGGGGATCCAATTGTTGGTGTCATTTATGATTCCCTGTTGCCTTGGGTTGTTGAAGTACCAAAGAAATTTGGATTAGTTGCGATTGAGTTCTTTACTCAACATTCCGGTGTTAATTTAGTTGAGTATTATTACTATCACAAATTAATTCCGTACCCTGTGGAATCACCAGTCACCATTCCTGGGCTGCCGTTGCTTCAGCCTGAGGATGTTCCATCATATGGGATTTATCTGGGAAATTTTACTCTAATGGCTAGTCAGTTCTCGACAGTGGAAAAAGCCGATTTTGCTGTAGTTAACACATTTTACAAGATGGAAGAAGAGGTGAGTTCAAGAACAGGTTAATTGTTCATTTCTTATGGTGATTTAATTCTTCAGTTTGACCGCATTTAAATTTTTATTCTTGTGATTTCGAAACAAAATTTGATGATAATGTGAATGCTCCTCCCTAGTGACCGGGCGATAGAAGGCTGAGACACCTGCAAAAGTGGTGGGGCTCTATCCCTATTGCCACTGCAGCAGAAGAATCTGTATAGGTGAAGAGATAAACATAGAGAATATGCATATTACATAAGAATGATCTACCTGTGATTTCCTTCCCTTTCATATAAGAATTTCGTTCCCCAAAATACGCGGAAAAGGACATGGTGTCTTCTGAGACCATATATGTTATATCGACTGGAAGATATTTGATTAGGATAGGTTATGTCGACCTATCTCAAGGCTCCAATCTCGTGTTAGTGTATGGGAACTTCGGCTGGCCTATTTGGCTGAGAGATTTCCCTGTTCTATCGACCACCATATATTATCCCTGATCAACATATTCTTATCCTTGGTCGGCCACCTTACACAGCGCAAGTAATATATGAAATATTTTCTTAATGTATGTTATAGGTAATTTTTACAGGTTGCAAATATGTTTAGATTTAATTTAAGTTTTCCAAGTTGCAAAGACATACTTTTTTGTAGAAGAATCCAATGTTTGGATGTTGGAAAGATACTAACTGGTATAACAAGGAACTAAATTAGTTAATAAGTCTTACGATTATAGAAATAGAGGACTTCTTACATGTGCCAGGGATGAAAAGAAAGAAGGGAATGCCTTGCATTCTATTAATTGGAGTTCGTAAGTTATAAAATTATGTGATTTTTCCTTTGGCATACTGTTTATGTTGATGCGTATAATCTGCTTTTTTCAGTCTTCTAAATACCATGCATCTTAGAAAATTGTTCAAATTCATGTGGGCTATATTCTTCTCCATGATGAGTGCCAAAAACTTATATTTGACTACAAGCTTCTTTATCATCCATCACTTTTAGTGAAATACTGTTTACTTCCATTAAGTTGAAATTATTAGCCTGAATATGTCAAAATGAACTAGCTCTAGTCCAACGCCTTCTTTACTCTCAACGATTTCACTTTTAGAAAAGGACCACAATGTTGTTTGCTAACAACACATGTTCTACAAACTTAAGGACACATAAATTATGAGAGACCTGCTACCATTTTTCACTTCTATTGTAGTGCTTTTAACCTACCAAAGTTAAGATGCCTATAGCAAAAACTATAGTCACCACCTCATTTAATCTAACATAAAAACAGGAATGAGTAGCATTGTGGAGATAGAGTGGAAACATCCTTTTCGCAATTATGTTGAGTTGGAGAATTAAACTCAGCGTTCTGTTTTAAATTTGGCGATATCCAACTTTGGTAGAAGTTTCATATCCCTTCTCTTGAAGCCAACCGACACTAAGCAAATTGGTCTTTAGATGTGGAACAAAGACAATTAACTGTATATAATTAGTTTTGTTTGAACGGTTACCATTCCCTTTTCCTATACTGAATACCGTTGAATTGCCTTCAAGCTTCACATCATTTTGAAACGAGTCATCAAAATCAGAAAATGCATACTCATCTCCACATATACGAACAGTACAACTGATACCTTCCTAGACACAATTTGGAGATAATTTTAATTTGTACATAGGTGTGACACCTAAATCACTCAAGTTCTGGTTGTCTCACTGACATTGGGCATGTGAGCTCTTGAATTGTAACATCCTTTGGAAATATATACCATCTTATTTCTGTTATTTTCTGGAAAGATCACATCCATATACGATAGAGATAGGCCACCGGTCCAGTTCACATATTCTAGAAGGGGTAAGAAGGGGATCTCGCACAGTGAGGGAGAGGAGCTAAATTCTGTTGGAGGGAATAAAGGGCAACAACTTTCTGTTAAGAGAACCTATAAGTATTAGCACTAAAGAAGTAATCGGGGGGAATATTTTGGGGAGTAAGTCTTGAGTAGTTTAGTTCTAATAACAGCCTTCTATAGGTTTTGCTATCAATTTCATTACTGTAATCGTTCCCAATTTCAATAACAGAGAGCTTATTCAATATCTGGTCAGCGGTATCTTATCAATTGGTATCAGAGACGTTCGTTCCTATGGCACAAAAGAAAGCAGATAGCAGGATCGACACCATGGAAAGGGATATGGACGAGATGAAGATATCAGTAGAGCAACTAACTCAAAACATGGCAATAGTAGTGCAGTCGATGGAGGAAACAAAGAAAACTGTTGCAGCTCTCTCCACTCTCGTGGGGGGGCTTGCCCAAAATTCGGGAGAAGGGAAAACTAGTGTTGCTGGAGGACTAACACAGCCGGAATTCATGAAGACCCACTGTGGGGTCGAGCCAGAGAAATGGAAGGAGGGTATGGGAGAAGCCAGTTATGGAAAACCATAACCAACACCATACAGGGCAAGGAGGACGAAAACTGGAGAAGGGTGCGAAAATTGGAGATGCCCATTTTCAGTGGAGAAAACCCAGATGGATGGTTGTATCGGGCGGAGAGATACTTCGAGGTTAATGGACTGACAGAACGGGAGAGGTTGGGGGCGATTGCGGTCAGCTTGGATGGCGACGCGTTATCCTGGCTTCAGTGGACAGAAGCCAGGGCACCCATTCAGTCATGGCAGCTGTTTCGGGAGCAGCTACTGTTACGATTTCGCCCCACACAAGAGGGTAACCTCTGCGAAAAATTCCTGGCAGTGAAGCAGAAGGAGACGGTGGCAGAATTCAGGCGCGAGTTTGAGATGCTAGCTGCGCCTTTGAGAGAAATTTCAGATGTGGTTTTGGAGAGCACTTTTGTTAACGGACTGAGACCGGAAATACGGGCTGAGGTGAGGTTATTGGGCCCAAAAGGGTTAGGCCCAATCATGGAGGTGGCCCAGAAAATAGAAGACATGAATTTAATTTTGAGAAATATCCAGGGGTCTATGGGTCATAAAACAATCAGACCCGTTTCTGCTCCCAATCGGCCAGACGCGAAGAGGTTCGAGGGGTTCCCTACTAGATCCGTCACCGTCGGCGAGAAATCAGGTGCCGTCAGGCGCGATTTCCCGGTGAAGAGATTGTCCGACGCTGAGTGGCAGCTTCGGCGTGCCAAAGGGCTGTGCTTCACGTGCGATGAGAAGTTCGTTGTAGGACACCAATGTCGAAATCGGGAGCTTAGGGTCCTGCTAGTGGGAGGGGATAGCGAGGGAGAGGATGGAGAAGTTGTCTGGGAGAGCGAAGAGCTTCCCATCGAGGTGGGGGATCCAATAGAACTGTCCCTTAACTCAGTAGTGGGGTTGACTACGCCAGGGACGATGAAGTTAAAGGGGTTAGTGGCAGGGAACGAGGTTACTGTGCTGATCGACTGTGGAGCAACCCACAATTTTATCTCTCTGAAGCTGGTACAGGATTGGGAATTACCGACAACAGCCACTACTAACTACGGAGTGGTGATGGGATCAGGAAAAGCTGTACAAGGGAAGGGGATATGCAAAGGGGTGGTTTTAGAGATGCAAGGGCTGACTGTGGTGGAAGATTTCCTGCATTTAGAGTTGGGCAGTATAGATGCAGTGTTGGGGATGCAGTGGCTAGGCACTTTGGGCAATATGGAAGTCAACTGGAAACGCTTGTCAATGAGGTTCAAAATGGGAGGCTCGGTGAGAACATTGACAGGGGATCCCGAGCTGCACAAAACCGGGGTATCCTTGAAGGTAATGATGAAAACCTTACATCAAGAGGGCCAGGGAGTTTGGGTGGAGTGGAAAGAGCTGGGGGTGGAGGAAAACACTAGTACGAAGGGGGCGTTACCAGTTGCAGAAATACAGGAGGTCCTGCAACAACACCAACAAGTGTTTAGCGAGCCATCGGGACTACCTCCCGGCCGCGAAACTGATCACGCCATTCCACTACGGGAGGGAACCGACCCAGTAAACGTGAGGCCTTTCAGGTACCCCCACATCCAGAAAAATGAGATCGAACGGTTGGTTCAGGAGATGTTGACGGCTGGGATTATTCGACCAAGTGTCAGTCCGTTCTCTAGTCCTGTGTTACTGGTAAAGAAGAAGGACGGAAGTTGGCGTTTTTGTGTGGATTATAGGGCCTTGAACAAGGCAACCATACCAGACAAGTTCCCCATCCCGATCATCGATGAATTGTTGGACGAATTACACGGCGCTACCATTTTCTCGAAACTGGATTTGAGGTCAGGTTACCACCAGATTAGGGTGAGACAGGAGGATGTGCATAAGACTGCGTTCCGAACTCATGAAGGGCACTACGAGTTCCTGGTTATGCCTTTCGGCCTCTCTAACGCACCAGCCACGTTCCAATGTCTCATGAATCAGATCTTTCGAAAACAGTTGAGGAAGTTCGTGTTGGTTTTCTTTGATGACATCCTAGTCTATAGCAAAGACTTGACGGCACACAAGGAATACTTGAATGAGGTCTTGACGGTCTTGTCAACAAATCAACTTTACGCCAATACAAAGAAATGTCATTTTGGGAAGTACCGAATAGAGTATCTGGGGCACTTAGTCTCCGCCAAAGGAGTAGCAGCCGATCCTGGCAAGATTGCTGCAATGGTACAATGGCCGTCTCCCCGGAACATTCGCGAGCTCCGAGGATTCCTGGGATTAACGGGATCCTACAGGAGGTTTGTGGCTGGCTACGGGGCAATTTCTTGGCCTCTCACACAACAGTTAAAGAAGGATGCGTTCAAGTGGAATGAGGAAGCAGAGGCTGCTTTTCAGAAACTGAAGTTAGCCATGACAACTATTCCGGTATTGGCTCTACCAGATTTCTCCAAACCGTTTGTTATTGAGACAGATGCTTCAGGCTACGGATTGGGTGCAGTACTTATGCAGGAGCAACGCCCCATCGCCTACTACAGCCAGGTTCTATCAGGGAGATCTCAACATAAGTCCGTTTACGAGAGAGAACTGATGGCAATTGTTTTGGTCGTCCAGAAATGGAGGCACTATGTATTGGGGAGGAGATTTGTTGTGCGTACTGATCAGCGGAGTTTGAAGTACCTTTTAGAACAACGAATAATCCCAGAGGAATTCCAGCGATGGGTAACAAAACTGATGGGGTTTAACATAGAGATCCAGTATCGGCCTGGATTGGAGAACAAGGAGGCGGACGCATTATCACGCCTCTATTCCCCTGTCGAGTTGACAACAATCTCCAGCCAAGGCTTCGTGGACAGCCAGGTCGTAAATACTCAGGTGGAAAATGACCCATTCCTCTCTAAAATCAAAAAGGGGCTGCAAGAAGACTCAGAAGTGCACCCACAGTTTTCAGTCGAACATGGGAGGTTATTGTACAAGGGACGTCTAGCTCTACCGCAGTCCTCACCACTGATTGCAGCTATTTTGAGGGAGTTTCACAGTAGCCCAACAGGGGGGCATTCGGGATTTCTCCGCACTTACAAACGCTTGACCAGCGAACTATATTGGGTGGGAATGAAGAGGGACATCAAGAAGTTCGTAGAGGAGTGTCCAATATGCCAACAAAGTAAGAACCTTGCACTTTCCCCAGCCGGTCTCTTACAACCTCTGCCTATTCCCCACCTTGTCTGGGAAGACATTTCAATGGATTTTATAGAGGGTCTACCGAAATCCGGAGGTTACAACTCCTTATTGGTGGTGGTTGATCGCCTTAGCAAGTATGCTCATTTCTTACCACTAAAACATCCCTTCACAGCAGAGTCAGTAGCCACACTTTTTGTCAAAGAAATCGTCAGGCTACATGGCATCCCAAACTCTATTGTCTCGGACCGTGACAAAGTATTTGTGAGCCGTTTCTGGTCAGAGCTTTTTCGCCTACAGGGCACTTACCTACGTCGGAGCACGGCCTACCACCCACAGACGGATGGGCAGACTGAAGTGGTTAACAGGTGTGTCGAAGCTTATCTTCGATGTTTTGTGGGGGATAAACCAAAGAGCTGGAGCAGTTGGATTCCATGGGCAGAATACTAGTATAACACCACATTCCACTCCTCCACAAATACTACCCCATTCAGAGCATTGTATGGACGAGACTCACCCCCGCTAATCCGTTATGGCAGCCGAACCACAGTATTACAATCAGTGGAACAGCAGCTGCAGACCAGAGACCACATTCTGGACGAACTAAAATCTCACCTGCTCCACGCCCAGGAGAGAATGAAGGAGACTGCAGACCGTCGGAGGCGAGACATTCACTTGGAGGTAGGGGATTTGGCGTATGTCAAACTCCGTCCCTATCGTCTCCGTTCTCTTGCCAAAAAACCCAACGAGAAGCTGGGACCTAAGTACTTTGGCCCTTTTGTGGTAGAAGCACATATAGGGCCTGTGGCATATCGATTGAAGTTACCTCCAACCACGGCTATCCACCCTGTGTTCCACATATCGCAACTGAAGAAGGCTCTAGGGGCACAAGATGCAAGTCAGGGGTTTCCACCTCATCTTGACGCTAACTTGGAGTGGGTCGTGGAGCCTGAAAAGGTCTTGGAAATCCGTCCCAAAACCTCTGGAACATCCCCAGAAGTACTGGTGCAGTGGAAGGGACTGCCCTCATCTGAAGCTTCCTGGGAATTAGTTGAATCGATTTTGCAACACTTCCCCGATTTCCACCTTGAGGACAAGGTGTCTTTGGAAGGCGGGGGTAATGATAGGCCACCGGTCCAGTTCACATATTCTAGAAGGGGTAAGAAGGGGATCTCGCACAGTGAGGGAGAGGAGCTAAATTCTGTTGGAGGGAATAAAGGGCAACAACTTTCTATTAAGAGAACCTATAAGTATTAGCACTAAAGAAGTAATCGGGGGGAATATTTTGGGGAGTAAGTCTTGAGTAGTTTAGTTCTAGTTACAGCCTTCTATAGGTTTTGCTATCAATTTCATTACTGTAATCGTTCCCAATTTCAATAACAGAGAGCTTATTCAATATCTGGTCAGCGGTATCTTATCACTATCTTTGTTTGCTAACTTTTCCTCTACCTCTTCCTTGATCTACTCAGTTCGTGATGAAGAGTGGTTGTCAATTGAGATTTTTATTTCAAATTGAAAGTGCACGATATTCAAAAATCAAAATACTAGTCAAAATCCTTCGTAGAGGGCCGGGATAAGTGTAAAACTTACACTTATCTGAGATCTATAAAGCTTGCTTCTCTTTTATCTTCCTGATTCTGTTTGTACTCATACAAAGCTCCAGGCAATTCATCAATGGTTAGGATATCAGGGTCTTTTGACCCCTTAATGCGTTCCTGTTGGTTTAATTTGAAACGTGTCATCGACCAAAGAATTTCGTTGCTATAGTAATTCCTCCATTTATATTTCTGAGAAAAAGTTAGAAACTAATTCACATGACTTCATATGAAGGGTATTGAAACTCTGATGGAGTTGTTGATTCTTCTCTCCCAGATCGACTTTCTGCATATCCATTAACACAACACCATCTATTGGTTTTCCTACCCTAGAATCATTTGATAGGCTGCAATGATCATAGTGACCATCAAAGCCCGTATTGCAGGTGGTGCGAAATTTTCAGAACTCATTGTTGTGCAAAATGAAGAGAAAGAAAGCTCTAGCTATATGCAATCTCTGCCTCACTATGCTATATACTTTTGCCTACCTCACTTTGCTATATACTCTCTCTGCCTCATATTGCTACTTGGTGGTTCTCTACTTCACTTTTCCAAGGGAAATAAAAACACACTCATAAAGTTCCTTCATTCGCATTTACCACGTACAATCAACACCCCTACTAATACATTTATGAACAAAACAAATGCCCCGCTAAACTAAGGACTGTGAACTGAGTCAACCAGAGTCATTTTTTATAGCAATCATTTTAAACGATAAATAAGTCTACCAAGTCTTGTGAATTTTTACAGGTAACTTCTTGAATTGGTCTTTTTTTTTTCAGATTATTAACCAAACTAGTTAAACTGTATCTTGAGAACAGGTGCTAGAGGCAATGTCAAAATTATGTCCAATGATGACAGTCGGACCAACAATTCCATCCTTTTATCTCGACAACTTCATTGAAAACGACAGAGAATATGGACTCAGCGTGCCTCGGGATGACTCCACTTGCATAAATTGGCTGAACACCAAGCCAGAAGGATCTGTTGTTTATGTGTCATTAAGCAGCGTCATCTTTGCTAGTCCAGATGCAAAGCAAATGGAGGAGCTTGCGTTTGGTTTAAAGGGAAGCAATTACAACTTTCTATGGATCGTAAAGGATTTTGAAGTCGAAAAATTGCCCAAAAATTTTGAGGAAGAAACATCTGATAAGAGTTTGATTGTGCAGTGGTGTCCACAGTTGGAAGTACTGTCGAACAAGGCTGTGGGATGCATTGTTTCACATTGTGGGTGGAATTCAGTGATTGAAGCACTAAGTATAGGAATACCAATCGTGGGGATGCCAATGTGGGCAGATCAACCGACAACCGCCAAGTTCATCCAGGATGTATGGAAGGTGGGTGTAAGAGTGAAGCGCGATAAGAATGGCATTGCAGGGAGAGACGAAATTGAAGGTTGCATAAGGAAAGTAATGGAAGGTGGAAGGACTGGAGAGATAAAGGAAAATTGTATCAAATGGAAAACATTGGCTAAGGAAGCCGTTAGTGAAGGCGGAACTTCAGACACAAACCTCAATAAGCTAGTGTCCAAATTGACAAGCTCTCCCTGAGATTGAGATTCTTTTGAACAACTATATTGAGGATGTTTTTAAGTTTCAAATAAAGGCTATGTTGTGATGTTTGAATGTTTTATGAATAAGATCTCATTGATGTATTTGTGTTACATATATTCATATGCATTATTGAGACGAATCTGAGGTTTTGTGTTTGGTCATTCAGTTTTTCTATTATTTTTGTCTGAATATGTTAAACTTCAAATGAGAATATCGACAAATCTTAAATAAGTGCAATGTAAGGCAAAACACCATTAATTGATATCTGATAATCTATATCTAATTTAAATATTTGTTTGAAATAACTAATGACATCTAACGTATAAAACTATAACAAAAAGCATTTCTCCTTAAAAAAAAAAAGAACAAATCCTTCAAGAAACATACTTATTCGAGCACGAATTGATGCTATCGATTCCTACATCGTCCAATAATTTTAGGTTTTTGTAACTTCTAAATATATGTGGATAATAAGTGAGTATTAAATTTTGTATCCTACAAAATATGTAGAAGCAACTGTCGACATCTACTAGAAATGGTTTTAGAGTTATGCTATATGTACAGAGTTTGGTTACAAAGTTGGTTGACAAAATAACATCTACACCAATCATTTTAAAAACAGATTTTTAAATCATTTGAAATTAACGATCTGGATTTTGTCAACACACTTTGTAACCTTACTTTTGTAACTCAACTTTGTACAAATAGTTCTGTCTCTCTTTCCTACATCAGGACCCTTTGGATGTTACACAAAATCCATTACTTTTAATTGAACAGTTAGCAAATTTGTACCCCTAGCGTATGTTGGACCAATTAATTGATGCCATCAATTACCAAGTTCTCCACTGGAAGATGGTCCATTAATTTTAAATGTTTATAAGTTGTGAAGGTTGGGATATGTATTCAAAAGTATTAAGACTTTACCGTAGTTGCTCAACATCTGAATTTTATTGAATAAATATTTATTATTTATTTGTGTCTTAAACAAAATGTTACATTTATCATGTCATCAAGTGCCTTTGATTAATTAGTGGCATACAAATTGGGTGCTTGCATTAATAAGCATAGACGACACTTTGTAGATCGATAATTAATTGTCATGGATTGGTGAGCAAACAACTGTGAAGCAAAGTTATTCCAGGTAAGGTTAGCTACTCTACTAAGAGGAGTATGCATTTATCTCGATCATGCAAGAGGTTCTCGAGAGTAGCGATACTTGTACAATGAGTATAGCTTTGAGTGTATTGCACTGTAGCATCACCGTGAGAATAATTAAATATATATGACCACTTTATAAATTACCTAAATTCATCTGGAATAGTGATTGCTATTCTCGAACTCTATCATCTTTTATGTACTAATAAATAATATATAATTATTTAGTTAAACATCTTCGTATTTCGAAGTCAAAGCAAGCGAAGTAGTGAGTATGCATTCGTGTTCGGATTCCGCCGTCCATGCGCCGACACATTTCTATATCTTTTCCACACCAACCGATATGTGGTTTCCACTTGTTGGGGTCAATTTATATATTTTTTATTTGTTAATGAAAATTGAATAATGCTATAGATGTCAGGTGAGATATTAAAATCAAATTTGTGAATATAAAACCCTCTATATTGACCTTATCATTTAATGTAACCTCACATAAGGATTATCCACTATTTTACCTCTAGCATTACTCTTGGAAAATAATGGCAAATTGTTCTAACTATAATTAAATTATTTTATACCCTTCAAAAGTTCCACATAGAATGTCTAGGTGCACATTTAAGGATCATTGATCAAAATGGATGGATTTCACAAGCAAAATTACTTATTAATTCAAATGGTTAAGCCAAACAAACTAGGAAATCCCACCTACAATCACGGCATGCAATGCCTTAGTTACATGAAACTTCAATCTAAATTTAACACGTTAGGCCATGCTTAGGACATGAATGTCAAGAAAAGCAGCTAAAACACCCGCTTTAACGCGGATGAATATCCTCTACTGAAAAACAAAAGTGAAAACAAGAACAAAAAGAGGAAATGTGACGATCATGGTTCTTGATCCATGGAGGGCCGTAGATGGAGACTGATCTTCATGGGGCGGTTTTCTGTAGTAAAAGGGAAACCAAGGCAAAATAGGCTCTGGTGGAGGTGGCACATCATCATTCCCAAGATAAGGTGATGGAGGATTATATGGAAAGTATCCAACCTGAGGGGTTGTTTTGGGGCCGGTCGGTGGCGGATAGCACGGATACTGGCATTCGTCTGCCATCGTTGGGGACATGTATCTAAGAATTGTTGACATGAATAGTATTGTTGAGAGGAGTTTGTGTAGTTTTGAATCCATGTTGGAAGATAGATGTTTGATGAGAGGGGATCAAAAGGAAAGGAAATTATAGACAGAGCAAATGTGAGTGGGGGACCTTAGCTAGATACTTAATTTCTCATGGTTCCAAAGGAGATGCCAAAGCTGCTGAGGCAAAAATTAGAATCTGTAAAAGCAAAGCTTTCAGCCTTTAGGTGCCCCTTTAGAATCTTTTGGTCATAAGTTACACTTGTGCTTCAAGTAGTGGCGCGAATCCAGGTGTGCGCGGGTGACCGTCAAGTGGCGGCCCAATATAAGAAAAAAAATTTGGGGAAGCCAGTTCAGGCGGCTCCAGTGGCTAGTCTGGTGTTGACTCCGCCCCTGACTTCAAGCATTAGTGGTAAGTTACTCATAAGAAATTAAGTGGCTCATGTCTTTCATTAATAAACCTTAATGAAGTTCAAAAATAAGAATATTAATGGAGGAGTAAAGAATAATACTATTCACATTGAAGACTACTAGTAGTCATCTTACTACATGTGCTAGTTTGTTATTTGATGCATGAAAACAATAAAAACTAATATATTAATGCATCAAATAACAAACAGTCACATATATGTCACGTAGAGCGACTATCGATAGTCTTTTCTATAAGTAACATTATTCAAGTGTAAATGGTTCGTGGTTTAATAATAAAATGAATTCTTTAAATTATCTTTAAAAAAAAAATTAAATGAATGTTGTAAATAATCTCTTAACACATTAATTTTATATATTAAATGATTGTATTTGATAGACTACATTCAGATAGAATGGCAATGGGCCAAACCCGGGCGTACGAGCTTGGCTTGTGGCTCGTTTATAATGAGCCGAGCTTCTGCTCGGCTCATGGTTTGTGGGCAGAGCTCGGCCCGTGAGCTTGTGGCTCGTGGGCCTAGTCGAGCTTTGGCTAGCGAGCTCGTCCATTTTTTAAAGTTTTTTAAAGATAAACCCTTTTTTTTTTAAAAAAAAAAAAAGAAGAAAAGATAAAGCCTTGTGAGCGAGCTGAACCGTCCATGAGTCGACTTTTCATGAGCCGACGAGCCGCTCGACTCGTTTGCCATTACTACATTCAGAAGGTTATTTTGAGGAGGGGGGGAGGGCACCCATTAAACTTAGATAAGGGAGTGAAATATAGGATGATGTCATTTGTACATTTTGATGCTTACATTTTTGTTGACATTGTCTTCCATTATAAAAATGTGACTGATTGAAAATTTATTTTTTTAATTGTTCACGAAATTTTGGAGAATGGATAACAAAAGTATATATTTTCTTTGTTGTAACTAATAAGTGAAAATATAAAGTTCTAAAAATTTAGAATTATTGTTATGTAAGTAATTAACCAATTATAAACAACTCAATCTAGGCGAAAATAAGGTAATTACGATGAGGAAACCACCTAGACCCTAAATGACTACCCCTTATGTTCGTATAAAATTAATGTGTATGATGGAAACTCAATCTAGGCGAAAATAAGGTAATTACGTGTACTGATGGAATCATTATTTTCATTCAACATTTTCGATAATGTGTATGCCTTTACTCAACTTCAATTCTTGAGTGGTTGAGTGTTGACCTCAAGAAAATTTAGCACTGCCTCTAATTCGATTAATTTTCAAACGGATGGTCGACAAAAAGCCTACAATTATTTTGGATAATGAGAAGAAAATTAAACAACACGCAAAATCAAAAGTAAAGGACAGCTGGTTAATTAAGATGGCTAAAGACTGTGACTAGCCGACCATTGAAATTCAGCCAACTTTTTGTACACTAGTACACGAAGAGTTGGTGATTCTAACACGGTAGTAAGCAAATTGAACTAAATCACTAATTTCTACTGCTTAATTCAAATTCAATCATGAAAAGAAAGCAAGGGAAATGAAAAAAAAAAAAGATTTGGGTGAAAAGAATAAGTTTGAGCGCCTACAACATATTTCAAAGTTAAATATAATTCACTTTGTCAGATAAATCGATCGTGTGGCTAACTAATGGTGACCCATGATCAAGATTCTCAAAGTCCATTTCCAACAGAATAAGCTGGAAAAGAACCCAAGAAAGGTAGAAATTTAGGGCATCTTTTGATTCTTTTCTTACTTTAATAATTTCTTATTTGTGACTTGAGAGAGAAAAAAAATGGAATGGAAAGGGTCATACTCTTTGAAAGTTGCGGGTGCGGTGGTGGGGAAGGAGACGTAAAAGACAATTCTAAATTGTTGAGAGACTGATATAATAACATGATAAGTAAAACTCATCTTTGAACTAATTAAGAATACATGCTGATCAAATATTTATAAGTACATGAGTCAAGCGTTGGGTCCTCCATTGAAATCGATATATTCTACTCTTCTTTTGATAATTATACCTACAACGTTCCGTTTCCCAATCATGTGAGTATTCCATGAATCAAAGTCTTCGACTGTAGCAATAGCCCTCCCTCTAGTCATCTTGCTATACTTGGTTTGTTTTTTTCAAAAACAACGAAAATTAGAAGACTAATAGTCAAATTTGTCCCCACATTACACCTATATTTGAAACTAGATTAATAAAAATCTAAACAAATGGTGGGTGGACAGGACAACCATAGACAGGTTCGAGAAGTGGGACCCAGAGTTCGGGATAATCGATGTTGATCCAATTCCGTTTTTACAACTAACAAACTCTGACAAAAACTCAGATAAGATGATAGTATAATGAATTTTAGAACCTTCTCGTTTTTAATGTTTTCCTATGCACGCACCGACAGGCCCAAGTCGCAAACTCATTGGTCGGTCGACTTTCAAATTTTGGGGATTTCAATTAGAGTAATGCTGTTTGCAGTCGCTCACTGCAGCAGTTGTCCTATGTGGCACACACATGCATGTAGTTATTTGATGCATTAAACTTGACATGTATGTGCCACATAGGATGACTTCTGCAGTGAGCGACTGCAAGTAGCATTATTCCTTCAATTTTGTAGAACTTTATATATATTTTAATAATATTAATATACTAGAGTGGGTCCATCACATATACATATACACACATAAGATGAATCTCCAGAAAGTGGAATTATAAAGATGAGCTACCAAATTAACTTTGAAGATGTTAAATTTTATCTGCTTTTTGCCCTTTTCCTCCTTTATGAAACCTTTTTAAATTCCTTTATGCTGTGGCCACTACATCTCTTATTTTCAAGGATATTGCTGATATAGAGAAATTTTAAATAACTGAAATTGTCACATTTTTAACAATGTAAGACTAGACGAAAAAATTGTCCATATATCATAGCCAACAATGCTATTAAGATTAAAAGAATTCATAGTACTCAAGAGAAAATTTATCATGTGGCATGTATTCCGCTTTGAAGCCTATGTGATTAACTATTTTTATATATGCAATTTGCAGTAATCTAGAAAAGATTCTTGTCCCGATTAAAAGATATTTTTGTTTTCCACGCTTTTCCGGACTAAATTCCAACACAAAATTTCATAAAAAGAATATTTGATTTATCCAAAATAGTGAAGATACTCAAACACTCATACAATAGTTGTACAAAAAAACCTCATCTTTTTACGAACTTTACATGTTTAGTTGTATAAATAAGTAGAATAAGCAATTGCAATTATAGAATGTGATGCTCTACGAACGTTGTTCAGCATTTGTAAAGTGATTTTAGGATGACACAATACCGTTATTTTAGTTGATATTGTAACTTTACTGTCACAGGTCAATTGTAGCTCTTGTCGCTTTATTCCTCGTAGTTCGGGTAGCGTATATGTTAGCTTATCTTTTCCCCTGTTAATAGCTGGACAGATTGTATTCTATAAAAATTAACTTTTTAGAGAATAGGTCAACTTATTTTTGAAAAAGCATGGCCAAACAAGCTCCACGATGTAGCACAAATTCCTTACCTCTTCCATTCTTCCCTTTGGTTCGAGTGATAAGATATGAAAGGAATATTTATTGAACACACTTTCCAATAGTAATACGACAAACTTGATTATCCTCCAAGATCAATCAACCAAACAAGAAATAAGTCAAGAAAATATGTAATAGAAGAATACATCATTATTCACTTAGATCAGATTAATATCCGTCACGTACTAATTAACCAACAAAAACGAAAAGATTAAGATAAAGCTAGCACCAATATTGGCCTATGAATTAGGAAATAAAAAAAGTTTATTTTTTTCACCTCAAGGAATTGAATTCTGCAGCTCCTCGGTGCATTAAATTTATTCCCTTTTCCAGAATTTGAATCCTTCTACCAGAAAGCCAGCAGCCCCAATAAACTGCTGATAAAAATTAGCAAATGAAATCTCCCCGCGCCGGCGGAATTCATGTCAACACGATATACACTTCCCGGTGGTCCGGTTATGTATATTTCAGGGGAAGGAGGAGTTTGAGGGTTATTGTCGCCGCTAGGTGGAGGAGGACACTCAGCGCTTGGTGACTTCTTTGGTGGCGGTGGCGATGGTGGTGGCGGTGGTAAAGCAGGTGGCAGCGGGGGTGGCGGTGGTGGTGACGGCGGCGGCGGCGGCGGTGATGCGGGTGGCGGCGGTGGCGGTGCTTGGTTACATGGATTGTCACAAGGGCAATTTCCACACTTGTTCTGCAAATTCCCAGGTGGGGTCTCATCAAGATTTCTTGGCTCGAAGCCATTGATTGGCACAACAATCACAAGAAGAAAAAGAAAAAGCTTAATTCTCAACATTTTTGTGCCCAAAAGTTGGAAACTTGAGCACTTTAAGCTACAAGAATTTGATGGTCGACTTTGTTTAGGTACGGCGACTTTGGTCTTCGGGAGAGGAGTCGAGAAGAAAGTGAGTTGCAAGTGTTGAAAGGGCGGGGTGGCGTGTTTCACATTTCTAGTGGTATGATGATAATTAGGAAATGGCTTAACAAAAGTTTTGGGTTGAAATAATTGGTCTTTCGTGGGCAAATAGAAGTGAGAGTGACATATTATAAGTTATTTGTGTGCATGGAATTGGTTTAATTCACTGTGCAATCACAATTAAGAATTGCATGTGGACGGTCCACTTTTGTGTGCCCACAACCTTTATTTCATTTTTTTATTATTTTTTTGTTTGTTTGGGCTTGGCATCTTTTATTTTGATAATATTACATTTTTTATAGTCATATGTTTTCAAGGTACACTTGCTAAAGGTTATCCACTTATTTTGAATTAGGAATCAAATGCCAAATACTTATTTTGATGCAAACCCATTAATTATTTGAGAAATGCTATTGGTACATAGCATTTTCCATAATGCTTCACAAAAGGGTCAAGTGGTGCCTTCCCATTGGAGGGGCACCTCGGCCCCACCTGTGAGCCGAGGCGCCCCTCCAACGGGGAGGCGCCACTTACCCTTTATGTGAACCATTATGTGTAGTGCTATGTACCCATAGCACTGCTCATCAAACAAAATAATAATTATGATGTCAGATCATGGTGCTTATAAGAAAAAACACAGATGTGACGTAATTGTAATTGAAAACTCTTGGTCCCTCGACTTCTTATAAATTGAGACATTCAAAAACTAATAATAAAACTCATTAAAGTAAAATTAGCCATCACCCATCTTCGTCACAGTTCATAATTTTTTTGGGACAAATCTTAATCATATGTATTTCGACATTTTCACTGGACAAGTCAATTTTTGATGTATTTTAGCTTCTCTCGTATTTATAGAAAAGGAATCGTGAAAGATGTCTATGATTTCCTCAAGTGTTTTAAGATTATTGGTTCTTTGGTCACTTCATTTTTTGAAGAGACATAAAATCGATTTTTCTTCATGTGCTGATGTTATCGGATACTTTTGACTTCATTGAATCGTGATGAATAAATGACTTAACTCTTAAGTCTTTGAGCCACTAATTTATTTGTACATATTTAAGCGTTTAGGAATTCAGATTAACATTTTATATTCTGGCAAAAATTAATTTTTTTATTCTTTTCTTATTAAGGTAATTTATTTCCATATTTAGGTAACATTGTATTAGTTCTTTTAGACTTTTGTCTTTCTTTAGAAGTGTACAAGTATCACCAATATTGTATTTTTATCTACCATAAAATTTTAAATAAAAATGAGAGAACGATATAGAAAATTTAATGCCATAAAAATATAAACAGAATCAGATAAACTCGAATGAATTATTGAGTCAACACGTTTAACAAAGTCTTCAAATCTAGACGATAATCTAATGTCTACTTTTTTGTCATGTCAACTCGATGGAGTCCTTGTCAAATAGCATTCATGAGTTTTTTAGACAATGTCCATCAATCCACATTAACATTATAGATGCTTTAAGTTGAAGTTTCCTAGTAAGAATTGAGGTTAGTTGTTTATTCAATAAATTGTAGAACTTAGGTCTTCTCAATTCATTTAAATCTTATATTAGCATTCTTCATAATTAACATTTTTTTGTTTATTAAGCCATTGTCTATCATTCCTCAAAAAACTCTTTTTTTGTCCCCTTCTAAAACTCATTTTTAAACACACATTCTAACAATAAAATCTTTTACACGTAAATCCAAATCTTTTCTTACTTTTTAATCACATATTCTCCAAAAAAATCGCTATATCAAAGCTCATTTTTTCTCAAAAAATCTTTTTAATGGGCATCAAACAGTGGCTAAAAATCAATTTTCGGTATTCGTGAGAATAAGGACTTCTAATTGTCAAGTGTCCAATGTTGTTGTGATTTGTGAAGAACCACATATTTTTTGAGATCCACAACTTTTCAAACATACACTTCATTAACTTTTATCAAAATCTACTAAAAATATGATTTTAATCCCACCAAAGAAGGGCACACTCAGTTGAGTTTTTCACCATTGTAATTTCTTCTGATTGCATGTTGTGCCCAAGTGACGGTGGTTTGTAAGGAGACTAGTTCCAAGTGTCACATACTATGTATTGGTAATTTGTGCATCTCATATTGAATGTTATCGAGTTGATCATATGAAGTCATTTTTTTCCCCGGCATTTTTCCACATGGTCTTAGATTGGATGCCTCAAGCGTCATCTTTTTTACTTTAGTATTGGGCTAGTCAGGCTTGTTAAATTGTTCGTTTAAATTTTTGATGCGGTCGAAAAGCGTGAGAAACAAGATTACATATTCAACTTCGTTGATTTGTACAAATTATTGTGAGAATATTGATAAATTGAAAATTTATAGCTGTAGGAAATAGTGAGAATAAGAGAAAAGTGAGCTGTGCTAAATGTAGTGCAAAACAAAAAAAAGGGGGTGGGGGGGAAGTGTTGTGTATATATGCTATATAACTAAACATGGAAAAGTGCCCCATTTAGCCATCTAAGTGGTAGAGTTTGGCCGCCTTAAGTTCTTACAACTTTTACTTGGAAACCCATCCTGCAACGAACATTGTATTGAGACGAGAACTTTTGACAGAAAAACTGAATAATTTCCTTTATAACTGTTCAGAACATGTGTTTTGCTTACAGTTACTGTTAGGAATATTGAGCCTAACTCCACCTAATAAAACTGGCTTATTAGGGGAGGATTGCACTCACCTTATTAAGTGGATCATTTATATTTTCCTAAGTAATGTGGGATTCTAATACGCCCCCTCACGCACAGCGTGGACCATGCCAAACAACTGTGAACAAATCGATATTGGGTGGCACTCAACATTGCATAATTGGGCCAACTCTGATACCATGTTAGGAATATTAGGCCAAACTCCACCTAATAAAACCGGCTTATTAGGGGAGGATTGCCCTCACCTTATTAAGTGGATCATTTATATTTTCCCAAGTAATGTGGGATTCTAATAGTTACAGTCTTGATCCTGTCTTTCTTTTCACTAGGTATCAAGAAGTAATCAGATACTGGCCTTTGGTAACGAGTTACAGTTGAAACAGGTTAAAAAATCTTCGGCACAATCAGTGAAGAAAGTAAACAAATACGAGGAAAGCCGTGTAGATGTTCACGTTTCAATATCCTCATATTCCTTCACACGCTAAAGTGGGGTAATATCAACAGTCAGACAAAAATCGAAAAAGCAAATAGAGTTTCCTGGGTTAAAAAAACCTGTCAGACATGTTGCAACTTCCGAAGATGCTCCAACAATGAAGTCGCCTTCCTCTTGGCCCTTTCTATGCCCTTTTTGGCAATCCCCGAAAGAGGTATTACTGCACCGAGCAGACTTAGACAAGCAAGATTTTCACCATCTCTTTTAAACAAGGAAAGTAAAATGGAAGTTGCATTCTCCTTGTTCCGAGGCAGACCCGTTTGCAATAGATCTATCAAGATGGGTATTGTGCTAGCTTTCATGAAAGCAGCCTTCGCTTCATGGTGGCTAGCAAGAACCGAAAGGATGGTCAGAGCTTCATCGACCGTACTGTTGCCTGAATCAGTAGCATCTTTAATAGGGCAGTAATAATGCCAACCCCCTGATAAATGCACAAGTTGAATAATGCAGTTGCAGCGTCTTTCTTCCCTTGTGAGCTTCCATTCTGATGTAAGTCGACTAAAGCCACCGGCATTTACGAGTCTGCGAGAGTAAAATATGTTATTACACCTCTCAAGTAAATTTCTCTAAATTATTCCATCTAAAATTCGCCTATTTCTTTCTTTTTCTGGGACGTCAAAAGAACAAAAAAGGCTTGAAGGAAATTCAGAATGCGAACAATACCTGGCCTGCGGCCACAAAACCGGATCCCTCATAAGTTCAAGTGATATGAGGCAAAGGAAGTCGTCAGGAATTACAGGAGATTCTGGCTTCTTGTTCATGTCCAGACACTTGCTGGCATAGTTATCTATCCTTTCACTATCAGAATCTTTTTGGACACAAACATCGGAATGTGAGCACAAGCTCCTTAAAACCTCCTGATTACTGAATTATTCATGCGAAGGATGGCCATCTGATCCGTTAATACCTCCTACAGGAACTTCAAATTTTGTTCTGACTTCATTATCATTATTTGTAGTATTTTCCACATGTAGACTTCCGATGAAAGTGTTGTCCAGCTGAAATGGATTGATATACCCAACAAGCTTGAATTCAATGGCCCACCATATTTCTAGGTTGCAAGTCTCAATTGTGCTCTGACTAATTCAACCTGGAAAAACGATCATGTTATGCGTTGAGAGTCGTGCATACATTACATATTACGACTTCATGTTTCTTATTTCCTCTTCATATAAGTATATACCTTTAGATTTTCGGACTGCAAATCTAGAAAGTTCAGAATTCTCTAGTAAATTCAAATTGGGATGGCTTTCCTTTTATTTGGCCAATATTATTTTGATCGATATATTTCGACGCATTTATTTCGATTCCTCGCTATATGATGCAGTACATCATGCGCAAAAGTATTGTCGACAATTTTTCCTTTTTCAATTATATTCTTTTCTATAACATTCAAATTTCTGTCTTCCTATTTAAACTTTGAGATAAAACATATAAAAGGTAGTAAAATTATTGCCAAGAATCTTGAAGAATTATAAGTATTGAGTTGTATAAAGACGGAAAACCCAGTGAA